AATAAATGATAGTGATAAAATCAGTTTCGATTTTTTATTGAAAACGCACCTCTTCTACCGAACGCGTCATATAGTCGAGCCTGTTTGATTTACTTTATATATATACATACATATATATATATATATATATATATATATATATATATATATATATATATATATATATATATATATGCTTTATTTGCAGAATATAAAAAATATGACAAAAAAATTAAAAAGAAATTTTTGTAGCGAACCCCTGGAGTGGAGGCGCGATATGAAACCACGACCCGAGTGCACCCGTATCGTAAATGAGGTCCCAAGAGCCCCGCTAACGTTTTGTCGAATTAAAGATGCGGAATCTAACAAGGTGAAACAAAAGGAACAACAAACGAGCATATGTATGATTAATGATAAGTTTATTTATAAATCAGAAACCGGGGGAGGGGGGGTAAGTTGGTCTGGTAAATGGGGGGGGGGTGGATTGGTCGTGTAGATGGTTGGAGTTGCATTGCAGACGTTCCGGTCGACGGATGGAATGAGATTGCGGACGTTCCTTCCGTGTCATGCTACCTAATACAAAATTTACTCAATTGTAGCCAACAATAAGTTGATTTTTTAACAGTCATTTAACTTGCTAAATGATTCAACCCATATAGTGAAATCTCGCGTAAAATATTTTCAATATTTTAAAACAGTTTATAGTTGCTTTTACTTTTTCCAATAATTAGATTAAGATAATTCTCAAGTTGAATATTTTTAATATGTTTTTTGTAATCGAGTTCACCCTAAGTAAGGCTGTAAAGCCACTGAGGTGCAAGGGGTTACTGGATGTAGAAAAAACAGGAACATTACTAAGGACCGAAAATATATGGTGATTGATCAGAGGGACAGTGGATAACGATCGCCATTGCGTTTAAATTTTTCAGATTAAATTTGTCTGGAATGCACGGAGCCGGAAGGGAATTCCACAAACGCGAAGTGCGAGAAAAGAAATTGTTAGCATAGACCTTCACCTTTGCTACATCTTGCAAGCTCAAGTGTAAATTGGTGAAACCTGGTTGCCAGTCTAGTACCTAGATTAAATTCAAAGAGTCTAGACAGAATAGTGAAGAGCAATATTTATTCTGTTTAATACAAAAATGTGGCACAAGGCCGAAGGGGGGATAGGGGAATGGACGGTCTTCTTCTGTCTTAACTATAACTTAGCTACCCACAAACATTGACCCAATCATACAAACAATTTTCCTTACACCAAAACAACACATTCATACGTATCTTTCTTACTACAATCACCATAATACCTCTTTGTCTCTATGAAAATACTAACTAGTCCCCATAATTACAATTCATTGTCTGTGGAGGGAGGGGAATAAAACAACAATTCTAAAAACTAGCTCCAAAGAGTATTTACAATATGAATACAAAACTATTTACAAGAAACTAAAGAAAATAATATTAGTAATAAACCCCCCACAATCACTAAATATGGCAGAAATATCAGTTTATTGGCCGAAATCAATGGGGAACTATAATAATATAAAACATTTATTCATTCCAAGCATACAGACTGGCACTCACTCATTCAAACACAACAACAAACACGAAAACACTCACGCGAAAACGAAAGGCACCCCACATCCACCAGCGAACTGACATCACTGACCACCTAACGAGGGAGGGGATGGGGAATTAAACTTAAAGAAAAACAACATAGCGAAGAGCCCATCCGGATAACTACCATGTAAGTATTTAGAGAAAAGGTAAAAGGCGGGGGGGGGTAACCTTGTTGCGATGGAAAAGCGACTGAAGTCGAGACGCCAGGTCAGGGCCAATAATATTGCTGATTCTGCTTTGGATTTTATCAAGTATATCTAGATAGATAAAAGGAGCGCCGAACCATACGCGACACCAATATTCTAAGCATGGACGAATAGTAGACTTATAGATATCTAAGGTAGACTCTGGGGAGAAAGAAATCGTCTGGCCTGATACGGTGAACCAACTTCCTGGTAGATTTGCTTATATACTCATTGTGGGATTAAAAACAAAACAAACCTAGACAGACTTATAAGAGCTACAAGAGCAGGACGTTATGGAGAGTCATGAATACCTCTGACCTTAAGGGATACGGCACATAGAATAAAAAAAACGTTCTGATTTAAAGATAAGACAGACCGGGACTGAGTCACTTAAAATTGAGAACCGGTCTATCTTTTTGGCTAGAAAGAAATCCCAGCATGCATTTGTGTGCTTCTGCCAGTAAATTGAGGAGGGGAAAAGTGTTTTGCAGTCATTCTTATTGTGTGACTGGAACAAAAACAAACTTAGACAGACGCAGTAAGAGCAACAAGTACAGGAAAGTTATGGAAAGTCATAATTACGTCTGGCCTGTAGGGACACGTTCTCTTCAGGCCAGACGTAAGATGGTTAACTATGGTTAAATGTAAATAAATAGCAAACGTTCCCAGCAAACAGAATTGACAAAGTTTGCAATAAGCAATAACAAAGAAAAGAAAAGAGAACAGAGCAAAAAAATAATATAAAGAAAGCAAACACTATAAGCAAAACAAATTACCAGTAAAAAGACAAATCAAGAGTAATATGGCAAAAAGTTCACAGACTAAGAACTAGCGTCGATATACAAAGCAAGTTCGGAGAAACGAATGTAGCATTCTGACTTAAAGACAGGAATGGCTGCGATGAAACCAAGAAGCGGTCTATTTTATTGATTAGAAAAAAAAGTCCCAGCATTCATTTGTCTGCTTCTGCCTATAAACTGGGGAGGGCTATTATTTTGCAGTCATTTCCACAAGACGAAAATCACCACACACACACACACACGCGCGCGCATAAACTCCTACCTAACCAAACCTAGGAGACCATTGAAGTTTAAATTCTACATCCTAACGAAATTCTATGGCTATATTTTATCTGTTCTTAGCGTTTATCACCTCATCCTTCTCCCATAGCCTCTTTCTTTCTTTTCCATTCCCCCTTTTTTCTTTTTCCTTTCCTTTTCATTCACCCACGACTACTTAATGCATTAGATTCCCTTCCATCTCTACATGTAAATCCTAGAAGAGATTTCAAGAAAATTTCCAGAGAACGGAAGTGGGGGATATTTGCTTCGATAACTGTATTTCTGAATAAAAAATAAACTTTTTAGTAACACCGTGATTCCCCACCTGATGAAACGTCTAAAAAAGATTTTCCCCTTTTTTGACGTTGAAACAAACATGTACAATTTTGTAGTGGATATGTGCATGTTCTAATGTAACACTTCATAAATCTTTACCTCTCTACTTTCTGTATTGAACACTATTTTTAAATTAATGTTTTGAACGCTGTAATCCTACTTTTCGTTCTCCTACACTTTGATATATATATATATATATATATATATATATATATATATATATATATATATATATATATATATAGTAAAAAAAAAATGGACGCATGTAGAAAGTTGATTCTTGTATTTTTACCAAGACAAGTGAGTAATATAGAATTCGTTTATTAATATAGGGTATGCTATAGACTCAATTCTTTAGTAAGTGAATCATGACCATAACCCAATTGAAAAAACTGTGGGATCTTCCACAACAAACCAGCCTTACCTCCTTTTAGGAAATGCACTCTTCCTATCTGGAAAGTAGCATCCTACTTTCATACAATATGACAAGTATTCATTGGTCAATCACCTCCAATCATGCTTGCTGATTGGTCAGTTCCGACCAATCAAACCGCCTGCACGCGACCAATTTGTTTTTCCTGCGTTCTTCGATTGAAAAAAACCTTTGGCCGATAATGGACAAGTGTTCTCATAATAGGGAAGTTAACAGAGAAGATGAACTTTTTCACGAATTAAAGAAATGCTAGAAAAATCTGCCCATTTTATAGCATGCCACAAAGAATTAAAGCCGTTGTTAAACCAAAAGCTGACCCCAAAAATTACTAAATCATTTTTTGACCTGTATAATGTACATAGTGATTTTCCAAGCGTAGCATGGATGTTAATATAGGAACGAAAATAAGAGGCACTCAGTGAAGATCGAACTCACTACTTCGGTCGGAATTGTTCTAGCGAATAAGCTTACAACCATTACACCGCCTCGAGAACATTATATGCACACCTATATTAATATTATATAAACGAATTCTATTATTTCACTTGTCTTTAAAAATACAAAAATTGATTTTTTATGGTGCGTCCAATTTTTGTTTGTACTATATATATATATATATATATATATATATATAATATATATATATATATATATATATATATATATATATATATATATATATATATATTTGTGTGTATGTGGATAAATTTCCAGGCACAGTTTCAAGGTAACAAAATTTTTTGCGGTTGTTTTTTTTTTCATTTTTTCACTTTAAGTATCGTTTATAACTTATATTAGGTAACAACATTTTCTTTATATCTATTTAAATATGTGTGTGTGTGCATGTTTGCCTCTCTCTCTGTGTGTGTGTGCATGTTTGCCTCTCTCTCTGTGTGTGTGTGTGTGTGTATCAGTTCTTTCTTCCAAATAATAATGCAACCAAAGCCAGAAAACCTGTGTAAACCAACGCCAGAAAACCTGTGCCGGCCACCGCAAAAACTTTCTGAAAATCAGTGAATCTAGAAGGGATTTTAACGGCTTTTAAATATTCGTTCACAAAATCTTGACAGTTGTTACAGACATAATTATATTTGTCCATACTATTGAATACTTTTTGGCCTATTTCAATCAATTTCAAGCCAGTTGTAACTACCTTTCCGCATTCATTTAATTTAGATACATTGATATTACTAGCTGTTGTATAGAGAACAATTTTCGACTTTTTTATCCGAATCTCGATAGTAAAGTATTTTCTTTGGTATCCCAAAACAACAGATTCGTGGCCAAAAGTGCGCGCTTTCCATCGATAAATGGTGTATTCCACTTCTTTTTCGAGGTCTGGAATTTTACCGTCGTTTTGTAATTCCTTTATTTTTTCATGGTAAAATGTCATGGTATTTGAGGAATCGAAGTAGCCGAATACCATCTGGGATTGTGGCACTAAAAAATAAAATAACAATAGATATAAAAATTCCTAAACATAAAATATGTCACATTTACAGACAACCTATTAAATCACAGGCACGGTGGAGTAATGGATAGCGGCTTGGATTGAGGAATCGGTAGAGCCGAGTTCGAATTCCAGTCGAATCCATTACATTTATTTACGTGCTATTAACCTTGGGAAAGGTATGAATCCTCTTCTTCTCCCCTCCCCCAGCTATGGGTAAATAGCAGAACAGACCGGGTTCTATAGCCTTGGATGGCAACTGGTCGACCGCAGAAAGAAACGGCAACCTACTGCGGGAAAAATCAGTCATGTATCGAAAGCGTGTACCATGCATGGCACATAACTGACTGAAATTCAATTACGTGCTAATAAGAAAAGTATAAATTCTCTTCTTCTCCTCCCCATCAGACAGCTTCTGAGAGAAAAGACACGGGTTTCTGTCGGGCCAATAAAACAATAGAAGGACCAGTTTAAGGAAATGGCACCGTTTTGTATATGGAAATATATCTTCACCAGATATAGAAAATATCTCTGGCTCGCAGTCCTCACATTGGGAAAAACCTAAGAATAACAATTTACCTATTTCTTGAAATACCTTGTAAATATATGGATATAATAATGCTAGTAATGGGGGAAATCCAAACTTACTCTAAACCTTTCTTCCATACCACACGCATTATTTGGGTCAACCCGATGTGACATATTATTTACTCCCATTAACATAATGCATCATTCTATCTTAAAAAAAATCAACAACGTTTTGCGGCAATTTTTAACGTCAACATATTTTTGTCTTGATAAAATGTAGAATAATAGAATAAAATAATAGCAGTCAAATAATAAACAGACGGCTTACAATTTCTATATAAATAGTTAAGTTTCTATTCACATAAGACAAACCCGCTTTTGAGACAGATAGACAGAGAGGGTAAGACCTACGAGTCTAGCTGAGTCGTGATACAGTCTTTGACTGTAAGCGACGTCTGTCGAACTCTCTGCATTCGAACCCGGACGAAGCTCTAGGCGGGTTCAAAGGCTATATCTTTGGCCGAGCCTACGGGCTCGGAGATACCCACATTAAACCGGCCTTGGGCCACATTCAATCCTCGTGGGTGGATCGATAAATACAGACAAACCCGCTTTTGGTCCTTGGGCCGATATCTACGACTCTCGGATAGTTTTCGTAACACTAGTTGTTTTTCGTAAGAAATACCCATGAGGCTTGCCTATTCAGTGACAAGTGACACTCCAACAAGTTTACTCAGAAAACTCAATTCTTCCATTCAAAAACTTTCTATACGGCCACCAGGGATATAGTTGAGAATGCTGTGACTACCTTCATTGGCGTTGGGGAATTACAACTTCCATAAAAAAAACAATAAAAGTGCACTTAAAAATTGGTAAGGACTCTTTATCAGAAGACTGCAATCGCATTCAATATTATGACTGAAAATAGAGACTTTAACATAGTGTTTTTTCGAGACTTAGCATCAGCAAATGTAGTCACTATTACTTCACAGAGATTTTGCGTTGCGCTGGACAACTAAAGAATTCTGTCGTACCAAAGTCAGTTTTTATGGTACTTTTGCCACCGTATCCATTAACTGTGTTTAAAGTTGATGACATAACGTCTGGTTTTTGTGTTTGGCATATATTTAAATTAATAGCATATATTTTATTTTAACGAACGACTACCATGAAAGTATTTATTTAAAAAAAAAGTAAAGGGAAATTGATTGAAGTCAAACTGCCAGATCAGGACTAATAATATTGCTGATTGTTCTTTTAAAATTATAAAATCGACATCATTTTTGCACAGGTTGAAATAATGTTTTAATTATTAATTTTAAAAAAACTGAAAGTTTACATTCATAAAATTTAAAGAAACAAGAAAAATTACCTCGGACCCATTATCTACATTAAGTTTTAAACCGGAAGGATGCGCGAATCCTTCAATTCAGAAACAATTTTTTGTCATGTCGTATTTGACTGTCTTTATTTCCGTCTTCTCTCCACAAAACAAAACAGAAAAATTAACTAAGACCAAAATCTACTTCCATTTTTAAATGGATGGATGCGAGAATGTTTCAATTCAGATGTTCTTCTTTCTCATGTCGTATTTGACTGTCTTTATTACCGTTTTCTCTCCGCAAAACAAGACAGAAATTCACTAAGACGAAAATCTGCTTTCATTTTTAACAGGAAGGATGCGCGAGACCTTCAATTCAGAAACAATTCTTTGTCATTCAGTATATGACTGTCTTTATTTCCGTCATCTCTCCACAAAACAGAAACGAGAAATTCACGAAGAAAGAAATCCACTTTCATTTTTAACCGGAAGTATGCGCGAGTCCTTCAAATCAGAAACAATTTTTTGTCATTTAGTATATGACTGTCTTCGTGTTTATTTTCGTCTTCGCTCCATAAACAAATAAAAGAGAAATATCTACTTTAATTTTCCCTTTTTTTTAAAGTACACTAACATGTAATTTTTGTTTTACGATCAAATACTAATTTTTGCAAAACATGTGGCAAATGAAACGCTAATCTATATTAAATTATGTACATTTTGAATAGATATAAATAAAATGTTGTCACCTATTATAATTTAAATCTTTACTTAATGTAAAAAAGGTGAAAAAAAACACAAAATATGTTACCTTGAAAACTGTGTCTGGAAATTTATTTTGAAATGTTGATACCTCCACATATTTACTAAAAATGAGCCTACCATGTCGACAAAATGTCCCATAATTAATCATCAAAATGTTTGCTATTAAGAAAAACCAATAGAGTTATGGATTATTAAATTATACTTTTTGTTCTTTTTTAGAATGTTCGCAATTTTGGTTAAAATCTTTTTTTATGCGTCAGCCGTGAACAAAGATTAGTACAGGAAAGTTTAACATCATTTTTGCTGTAACAAATTGAAATTGATTTAAAAATTAAATAATTGTCAATTTTAATGAATCTCTCAGGACTTATCCCCAAATGAATTTAAATTATTTTAGAAGTGTTTCTTTTTTAGAAAATATTTTATAAACTTTTTTCATCTGTTACCCTCTTACACACACACACGCGCGTGCGCGCACTTAATTAATTTTAAGAAATTTTGAATAATTAATTTTTCTACGACAAAATATTTATATTACGCAAAACTTCTTGGAGAATTTAAATCATCAATTTTTTTTTCTTTTGATTTTATGTTTTAGGTTTTTTTTTTTTTTCTTTGGCTGGAGGGAGTAAAAAAAGAATCCCAGTTAACGAAAAGCTGCTTTCAATCGCAAAATAAAAATGCCATATAACACAGATATTAATTAGAAACCTTTTATTTGCTTTTATAAATAAGATATATGCCAGGAATATATAGTCTAAAAAAAACACTTTTCTCGGTGAATAACGAATTTTTACAAGAGTTGTTTTTTTTTTAATTGTAACTGAAATAATTTAAAAACTTTTAAATCTGTCGGAGTTAAATCCTCCTTAATTGTCCGAATTGTCCACTAGGAGTCGCTCTCCCTGCTACTAATGATACAGAGAGAACTGACAGGGGATGTGGTGGGAAATGCCTGGTGGGATAAACTCAAATCCAAAATTAGAACGTTTGCTGCCGATTATAGTCATCGGCTCAATCTAGATAGATTAACGGCGCAAACGGCTTGTGAGCAAAAAGTTGTCCGGGCGATTAAATCCCGTGATAGTGGGGAAGTAGTTTTAGCTAAGGCAGAATTGACCTCCTTGCTTATCAAGAAGGATCAAGCTCTGGTAGTTAGGGCAAGGTTAAAAAGAATGTCCCCTGAGGCAACGAATATGGCCGCTGAATTGCGTGCAGAGGAAAATCGGAGTGCATCTCGGCGGCATATCGCATGCGTCACATTGCCGGATAAGCGGACCGTGACTACAAACAAAGACATATGTGAGGCCTTTTCTAGCAAAAATAAACACACGTGTTTCTAATTTAACAACACGTAAACCCCCAGTCCGCTACAAACCTTTTACGTTTCTGGATTAATTTGTACAATTTAGGTGATATTGTTACTAAATATGATCATAAATATAAATTCTTATTAAAATTCAGCAACCTTCAATATTTAAAAAATAATTTTAAATTATATTATGCCTGTCTAGATGTGCCGATTTTTGTAAATACGGACATCCATAGACATTATCAGAAAGTGAAGAGCGGTAACTATTGTAAAAATGTAAAGCCCAAATACCTAAGATCCAACAAAACATTAAATTACAGAGAATATTTCCCTAATTTTTTAAGATACCTCTGTAGTCAAAAATTTTATCAAAAAGACACTCATGTTATATTCCTCAAGTGATTTCTACATATATATCCACTGTAGAAAAAGATTACATAAACTTCCGCCTAACAATCAAGCTGCCACTACTATAAATACACACCTACCGCCATGGTGCTATTTTTCTCACAAACGATGCCCAAATGACCCTATTATACTATGCCGTCGACAAAATCAAAAACAAACAGTGCGCATGCGCGAAATTAAAAATATAAAATGGCGACAACTTACCCATTGTACCCTGCATAGTGTTTACTTAAAACAATATCACCTAGCCCTACAAGTACAGGATTTTAAATGATTTAAATCTTTATAAATTATTCTCATAAAGAGTTAAAAAAAAAAATGAAAATAATTCTTGTAAAAAGTCATTATTTTTCGAAAGAAAATGTTTTTCTTAACACAATTTATATCTATAATATATTTTATTCGTAAAAGCAATTAAAAGGTTTTCTAATTAAATAACCTTAGACTTATTACATTTTATTATTTTACTGCTCAAAGCATATTTACTGTAACTGGAGATCCTGTTTGATAAAAAAAAATGATGATTTCAATTCTTCAAGGTACCTGGACGTACGTTATGTCTAATACGAGCAGAAAGCGACACAAATAAGAATTTCTTGAAATTTTATAAAATTACATAAGAAAGGTGTAACTGTTAAGAAATTTTACCAAGATTTTCTAAAAAAAATAAATGTTTCAAAAACATTTCACTCATTTGTGAATAAGTGCTAAAAGTTTCATTATAATCCAATGAACATCTGATGGTTGCAAGAATTTCTAAATAATTGTGTTTTTTCGCCGCAAAAGGACACTAAAATTTCCAATACAAATTTATGACCAGCGTCGAAACTAGAAAAACGAGATTTTTGGTCAAAATTTCAAAAGGTTATAAAAAGGATTAAAAAATAAGTTTTACATCAAAAAACCATTTGATCTTCTCTCGTAATCATAAAAACAAAACTTTTTTTTTCATCAAGTTTGAATCCCAACTGATGCCATCTTTTCCTTGTGCATGATCAATTTTTAGCGAATCTTTGGAGGTACCTACAATTTATGTATGATTATTGTAATTTGTCAGAAACAGACTTTAGAAAAATTATCACACTAAAATCGAAACGTTCAATTCAATGCCTTACTTGAGGTTGATGACATACTTGATGAGTCACTTGATGACATACTTGATGGTTCACTTGATGGTCAAATTGATGGTCCAATAGATGGTACAATTGATGGTCCAATTGATGGTACAGTTGGTGGTCCACTTGATGGTCCAATAGATGGTCCAGTTGGTGGTCCAATTGATGGCTCACTTGATGGTCCAATTGATGGTACAGTTGGTGGTCTCACTTGATGGTACAATTGATGGTACAATTGGTGGTCCACTTGATGGTCCACTTACTGATTCACTATCCAGGACAACTAAAAAATAAAGACAAAGACATTACTGTGATTCCTTGCTTTGAGATGGCAATTAGACTGAAAAGAAAATAATGTTGCCAGCTATAGAACACTGAATTTAATCCTGTCGGAAGGATGGATTCCGTCAGACTACAATATCCTTGAGATACCACTACTTCTACGGTTGCAGTATGGATGTCACCACTTCGAAAATTTTGCTTAAATCCGTTTTCTTCATAATTTCAAGATATACATATATATATATATATATATATATATATATATATATATATATATATATATATATATATGTATATATATATATATTCAGAAAAATTTTCCTTCTTTTCATATATATAATTTGTGTTTAGACATATGGAGAAAAGGAAGCATCAGTTTAAATAGATTCAAAGGGGAATATAGTTTCAACTGATGCCTTCTATTTTCCATACACTACAGTTCAAAAAAAATATTTTCTTCCTTTTTCCATATATATATATATATATATATATATATATATATAGTGGTAGTAAAAAATATTTAACACATTGTTTTTTCTTACATATCATAAGTGAATATAACGAACCCGAACGAAATTGAAACTCGGCTCTCCGATTAACAATTCTGAGCCATTATCCATTACACCACCCACACATCCAACCTAAACAGCAACTGGTATTCCGAAGCTGTCACCCATATACTGACGAGGCTTGACATTGAAGTGTTGTGCGCGTGTTTCTGCTTCTGTGTGCGGGTCTGTTTAAGTGTGTGAGTATGTATGTTGCTTAACTTCGATGATCGTAAGAGAATAGGTGTTTTCAACGTTATATGTCCATAAGCGTATATGTATAATATATATGTATGTATGTATCTCTGTGTGTGTGTCTTTGTGAGTGAATGTATGTGCAAATAATGAAACATATTTTTATGCGTCTTAAAAAGTACTTTTACACTTATTTCAAATGAAGCATGCTTATCTACATAAGAAAAAACTTAATATAAATTATATATTTAGGGTTAATTATTTCACCATATGCAAGGCAATAAAGCCACTAAGATGTAACGAGGTTTATTGATTGCGAATGAATATGAGAAAAAAACACTATCAACGAGAAAGGTCAATAAAAGAACAGTTATTAAGTAAAACAGATGATAACGCTTGACATTACATTTAAATTTAATTTAACTCGGAAACAAGAAACTGGAATAGAAGTGCGAGAGAAGAAACTGTTAGCATAGAACTTACGGTTGCATCTAACCATTTCTACTGTAAAAATGAAGAGAAGAAATCTAATACTGTTTAAAAACATATTACCGAAAGTAAAATAACATTCATTTATAATGAGTCAGCAAATCTTCGTAATTTTATTTATCGTTAGGAAATATTTAGTTTTGTAAGAGATATTTAAGCATTTGTTAGGACATCGGTATCTAAAGTATAATTTTGAATGAATTTATATGTGTTATATTTATATTAAAGTTTTTATCATACCAGGTGAAGAAGTATTCATTCATATATATATATATATATATATATATATATATATATATATATATATATATATCGATGAAAAGGCAATTTTATTACGTATTAATATTATAGAATATTGATTTCTTTTGAATTAAATCACGTTTGACAGAAATAAATCTGGAGACTAAAACATTTTCTCAGCTATTTTCGATAGAGAAAAAAATGTCGACTTGAGTTAAAAAAGCTTATTAGAGCAGTTGTTTAGTAAGGTAAAAAAGACAAATATGTTTGTTTTTTTAAATTTAGTAGTTGAGGATGTTAGTTACAAGTAGAAAAATAGCTAACCTTTTTTTTTTGTTTCTGATCAAAGCGTCGACTGTCTGAAGTTTTATCTTCGGAGGGTGTTTCCGTAATGTCACACGAGCTGAACAGCGGCAATGTATAATCTTAGCACAAAGTAAAACTAAATGCATGTTGCTAAATTTTTCCTTGAAGTGTTAAAGATGGCTTTCCTTGAAATGTTAAAGATGGCTTAGCAAAGTAAAAAAAAAACAGTTTTTTTTTTTATTAATAACCAGGAAGAAATTTCCAGTTAAAATATATACATATATGTCGGGCACCTCAATATGATGTAAAGATGAACAACCTTGTCTCGATAGAACAATTACGATTATGTCAAATACGGTGGCGTAATGGTACTGAGTTCGATCCTCATTATTTGCCTTCAAATTTTTCTTTATTATTTATTTTATATATATATATATATATATATATATATATATATATATATATATATATATATATATATATATATATATATATATATATATATATATATATATATATATATATATGATGTGTTCAAAATCATATATATATATATATATATATATATATATATATATATTCAGTAAAAATATAATATAAATATTTTATATAAATTAGAAACAAACAAGAAACTTTGAATAAAGACACAGCAAAGAAAAAAGCGAAAAAACGTAATAAAAAAGATATTTGAATTTTGTGCTTTTTGTAAGTATTTTTTGCTTAGAGTGTATAAGTGTTAAAATTCTACTGTCCTTGTTTCTAGTTGTTTGTTAAGATGAAAAGTAATGTTATTCTTTGCTTGCATTGTGTGAGGAATAAGTTGCAATGAGCAGGAAAGTGTAAGTGTCACGTAGCTTGGTGAGAAGGCGAGTATATCATTAAGGAATTTCGTTTAAGCTGTACATCACGAAACTGCAGTTACTTACTGACTTTTCAAGAAACTTTGCTTGAATACCCTTCAAAGGAATCACGAAGCATGATTTCATCGTCGAGGTTAAAGGGGTTGAAAAATGTTAAATATTTATATGCAAAGCATTCATTTATTAGACGAAAGGATGCGCAAATCCTTCGACACAGAAGCCATTTTGCTGTTGTTGTTGTTATTTTTTATTTGACAGTCTTTTTATTTTCTGTTTTCTCTCCACAAAACAAATAAGTGAAATAGTCTAAGACCAATATCTACTTTCATTTTTGACTGGAGTGATGCAAATCATCTGACTCTTAATTTGTTTTTTGTTTTTTTTTCATTTGGTATTTGACTGTCTTGCTATTTATTTCCGTCTTCTCTCCACAAACAGATAAGAAAATTTGTCTACGACCAATATCTACTTCAATTTTCCCGATTTTAAAAGTATACCAACATGTAAAAATACCAGTTTTTGAAATAAAATTAAAAAAACGCAAATGAAACATTAATCTCGATTAAATTACGTATCATTTAAATAGATATAAATAAAATGTTATCAATGTTACCTTCTATAATTTCAAAACATTCCCTAAAGCTGAATAAAAAAAAATTTACCTTGAAAATTGTAACTGGAAACTTGTTTTTAAAAGTAGCTACCCGCTCAGATTGGCTAAAAATGAAGATATTAAGAAGAAAAAATGTTCTATACTTAATAAAACAAGGTTTTATCGTCAAAATATTTATGTCATTATTAAGAGGAAATATCAAAAATTTTTATTTATAATATTATATTTTTTGTTCCTTTTTAGAAACTCGAAATTTTGGTTAATATCTTTTTTTTTTTCGCCTGACAATGGATTTGTGGGGACAACAAATTTTTAGCATTCCGCTATCATCTTTATTTTCAACATCAGTTTTTTGTACAAAAAGTGGAAACAGAGCTTATTCAGCTTTAGGTATATTTTCAGAAAATCCATTAATTTTGCTGTAACACACTGATTTGGAAATTTTTCAAATATCAAATAATTGTCGGATTTTAATGAATCTTTTCACGGCTTATTTCAAATGAATTAAATTATTTTAGAATTTTTTTTTTTAGAAAATATGAGTAAAAACATTATTTCCATCTGTTACACAATACTTTTCGAAATTTATTCCGTAATCTTTTTAAATTCATTTTACAAAGATTTTTAAATATTTTTTAGAGGAATCGAAATTTTAAATTTATAGCGAAATTCTGAAACTGAGAATGATCTTATTACATTTTAATTATAAAGCCTATAAAAAGGAATATTTTAAATTAATATACGACCAAAAATAAAACTTTAATGATTTCACTATAATTGTATAAAAACAATGTAATGATATTCTGCAGACAAATCTATGGTTTATGTTACCTCATCTCATTGCATGGTTACAAACTATAAACCTAAATTGAGCTTGAAATATTGTGGAATCGGCTCTAATGTTTTGTAAAATACTTGAATATGATCTAATAAATAACTGATAGTGATAAAATCAATTTTCGATTTCTTGTTGAAAACGCCCTCTTCTACCAAACGCGTCATATATAGTCGAGCCTATTTGATTTAGTTTTTATTTATTTTTTACTTAATCTTCCTATCACTTTTGTTATTGAATAATTCACATTGTTGTAATAGACGAATATACCAAGACATGTCGACAGTAACAGGATGTAAATTTATACTGTGCATGATCTCGTGATTAAAACACTTTTATTATATATCTTCGTCTTATTGAAGTACTTTCTCTTTTAATTAAAGTAGTATTTATTCATTCAAAATTATGGTCAAACACATTACATTGAGCAACTAATGGACTAAGTGTTTTGTTTTGTAAAAGACTCCTTTTGTGTTCATATATTTTTTATATTTATTTATTTTTTTAGTTTCATTTCCTTTTTCTTAATCTTCCTATCACTTTTGTTATTGAATAACCCATGTTTTTGGGGCCGATAAGGATGTCAAATTTATGCAAGCTTTTATGAAGAAATATGTAAATTAACAAAGTGAGGAAATGAGGTGGGAGAGAAGACATGAGTGAGTTAGATGTACCATTTCAATTCTTTATCCTTAAGGTCACTTGGTGTGGGCCAGACATCGCTTAACTTAACGTATGTTATCTCTAGATGTAGATGGGTAAGGGGTGAAGAAGAAACCCAAATAAAAGGAAAAAGATACAATAAAATAAATCATGAGAGAATGTTTCACTCAATTTCTTAGACGCTGTTATTTCGCATTAATTTAAAGGGTATATTTGGAGGTTAAATCTAAATGTCTAAACAATCTACGAAGAATTTAATTTGATGTTTGTTGGAGTTTGGGGTATTTTCTATCAAATAGTCGACTGGAAAAAATTCCTAGAAAGTGCATTGAATGAATAAATTCCTTTTACATATAGTAATCTTTTTTATTTGCTTAAACATTTTTTGTTGATTATTAAGTTGACATCTATCCGTTTGCCTTTTTAGATATTCCAATTTAAATAATTTTATCACAATAATGATTATTAAAGGGTAATATATTTCAATTAAAATTAAATTATCAATTTAAAATTTACCTCCGTATTATTTAAACTTATTTCCAATTGGAGAATATTAGAGGAGAAATTTTCATAGAAAATATTCGTCCTTTGACAGGATTCGAACCTGCATCCTATACGGAACCGTCATTTATGCTGATGTGCCTTATCCGATCGGCCACAAAGGAGCGTTCAACGTTAAACATAAAAATGTCTTTAATAAATAAATTGTCGGACTTTGTCCATTTCTTAATATATGACGTCATTTGTTTACATTTGATACGCCAGAGCAGTTATGAATGTACGAGATTCATGGAAGATTGAAGTTTATAAGCAGTAAATTCGAATGCCTACCGAACGCTCCTTTGTGGCCGATAAGATAAGGCACGTCAGCGTAAATGAAGGTTCCGTATAGGATGCAGGTTCGAATCCTGTCTATGAACGAATATTTTCTATGAAAATTTCTCGGACATTCAGGCCGGTAAATGTTATTTAATACTGTTTATCATAAACAGAGCATTTGCTTAAATACTTGTATCTATAAAAAACAACGTTAAACATAAAAATATATAGAATATATATATAACAGGCAATTTCTAGAAATGCTAAAGAAAAAGACTAAAACAGTACTAAAAGGTGGTTCCATTGGCACCCAAATTTTTTCTGTAAAATTTATTATCTAAAGTAAAATAACATTGGTTTATTATGAGTCATCAAATGTTTGTAATTTTATTTATCGTTAGGGCAAGTTTAGTTTTTGATTGCATTTAGATGTTTCAAAGAGATTTCAACATTTCTTAGTGTATTTTCAGGTTAACAGATATTAATGATTTAATTATTCGAATATGTACAACTAAATTTCATAATGCACTTTTTCAATGCTGTTTCCTATGTGATCAAAGTGATCATTAGAATTTTTAACGCACTGTTCATTGTTGTTAATGGGAACATATCTTCGGCAGTTCATAGATTACATTGATGTCTTCACTGGAAATATTAGAATATTCTTTGGTAAATTCCAACGCTAAAGTAAAAAGTTCCTTAGAAATGGGGTGTAAAAATCCACGATATCAAATTGGAAATCTGGCAAATTTGTATCTGTCCCAAATGAAATAGTCTAGGATTTATATGCAGACAACTTCATGTCATGACCTATACTTTTTTTTTTTTTTTGTTAATTTGAATTTAGCCTAGCTCACATTTAATTAGTTAATCATAGTAAAATTCACAAGCCTTATTTTAATTCTGCTTTTTCTTTTCGAACAATAGGAAATAGTAAGCTTTTGAAATATTAAGCTTTTTTGAGAAGTGAACGATTAATTTAAATCGTTCACTTGTCAGTAATTTACCATCGCCTGAGGAGCCACATTTCTTCTGTTGAAACACGATTGCTATTGTGCAGCGATTTTTAACGTGATTTTGTTTTAATCTCCTATAATATATATATATATATATATATATATATATATATATATATATATATATATATATATAACAGAAAAAATTTAAAGCACACATTTAAAAGAATACAAAGGCAAGCAGTATATGAAAGTGACGAATCTCAGCTTAAAATCTAAAATTTTATTCACTATTTATTTATTTTCAGTAGCAGTAAATAGGTTCGTCTATTGTCCGGTTCACTCTCCTGT